AATAATACATAATTAATTCATCTCACCTATGTTTAATCAACTCTACCTCCTTATGGATTTCAATCCCATAATTCAATATCTCTCAAATTAACACTTCACTAGCATAATAATTTCAAGTGGTCCAATCCCTTAGGATTAGACATCATATCCTCCATTTGTTTCTCTACATTAACCACCCCAATTCATTCAAGCGTACACCATCTATCATGGACTTATAACTTCTAATCAAACATAATTTATTCAAACTCATACATAACCATACCTGTTCACATTTTTTTCAATAATCCATCAGGTTCTAAGTCACTCACCTTAATGAAGTCCATTCACCAAGTCCACTTGTACTTAATTGTTTTATACACTACACATATACATAGGAACTTTACCAATACTACCTTCATACTATAAACTCATCTCAATTATATATTTATTATCCATAATACTACAAATTTCTCCCATGCTAATACTGTACACACCATAGGCTTGTTTACAATTTTTTTTTTTTTTACTTATGATACAACTTTATAAACTTTACCAAAAAGGTCAGACAAAACGTTTAATTCTGTTTTCCTTAAGTCCTCTAAGATTCATATTTTTCTTACCGCCATCTCTTGTCCATGGAGCAGTTAACACTGCAGCCACAACATCAGGCTAAGGACTTACATTCGGTGCTCCAGGGTTGCCACGCAGGCTTCTTACGATGACCACACATGTAACACAAAGGAATGGGTTGATCAGACCCACACTAAGGAATCACATATGCAGTAATCGATAAGAATCTACATACAACTATGCAGCACATAACTCAGCTATACATTATCAGAGTTCCCTAACAAAATTACTCTGATACCATAAAACGTAACAGCCCGTTGTACACCGGTATTGTTTACATTAATTATGATATTAAGCGTAGTTACAATCACAGCAATTCATTTATAAAAATGCGAGTAAACTTTTTCCGTTATTACGCGAGTATTTAAAACAATAAAAAGTGTAATAATTAAAAACTGTGACCGTACCTATAAACTGTTTGCGGAATACTTATTTAGACTACTTTTATAACATATTTTACTTACTGATAAGTCCACGATTTGTGACTTAGAGCATGTGGTTTGATGTTAAAATAAGAATGGAAAGGATATCTTTTGTTAATATAAAACCCAAATATTGCATAAAAATGAAGAATCTGATTTTTAGTACTAATGGGCTGATTTTGTATGTTTCAGGCCCAATTGGTATTATTTTTCCAAGCAAAAAGAAGGAAGAAAAATTGGGCCAGTCAGTCTTTGATCAGACGCACAAAGTGAGGAAAGAAAGAAACAAATAAGAATAAGAAGAAAAGAAAAGAATGGGCCAGATGAATCAAAACCCAATCAGTGGCCCAAAGAAGAACAGAAGAAAAGAAGGGAAACAAGGGAAAGGTTCAGAATCGTGAATCTGAAAGAGAAAAAAAAAGAAAAAACCCTAGCAGCAGACCGTCCAAGTGAACCCACCGCCATCTCAAGCCCTCCATCACGATTCTTTCTTTGAATCGAACAATCAAACCGAAACACCCTCTGATTTTCACTCAAGACACAGAGCCCTAACCCTACTCACGGTTCATTTCTTGAATCGAACCAACCACAACACAAACCCTACCTGATTTTTGTGCAACACAGAAAAATCCAAACAAGTTGATGAGCTGGAAGTTGTTAGTGGCTGGAGCTGCTTTTGTGGTGCGTTGTTAATCGTTCAAGGGACACCCACGATCGATTGGAGCGAGGAGCGTACGTACGGTTGGAGGAGGTGATTTTGGATCAGCTATAAAGAAAGGGAAAAAGGCATTTTGTAGGACACTCTCTCCCTACCTCTCTTCTCTCGGCTGAATTTTATTTTGGCTCTCAGAATAATTTTATGTTACTGTTTTCTGTTTCTGTTTCTGTTTTCAATTTTTAGCATTTTTCTGTTTGTAATCTTTTATGAGCACTGTTTCAGGACTATCGACTGTTGATAGTTCCTGAGTTTTATTTTTAGAACATTTTTAAGTTTATGTTTTTACCATGTACTCTTGCTTTATTTTAGCTCATCAACCTGTGGTGATGAGCTAATTATCTGTGAGTTGGGTTGAAAAAAAGTACCTGGAACTCACTGTTATTAGATGATGTTTTAATGTTTACATGGTTGTTTTTCAGCTTGTTTACTGTGCATGTTTATTGCTGAGTTTGTTATGTGATAATCACACATAGTCAGCTCTTAGTGGTGTGAGATTATTGGGAAATAACTCGCACTAGACCCCACTGTGAGCACATGGAAAGTAGAGAGAAAAATTTCTCTCAATGGGTATGGCTTCAGGGATGAAGTTACCCTCATGTAACTTGTGAAAATGGTTCTTCAAGATCCTATGACAACAATGACATAGGGATCTGCCAACTATTGTCAATGGAAGAAAACTATTGTTGGGAAACAACAATTACCTTAATATTTTCGTTAAGCTGGGAGCAATTTTTGTTCTTTGTTAAAGCATCCTAATGACAAATGAGGGAACTTCCAAACTCTATTTTAAAACCAATTTTTGTCACTTGTTATTTTTATCCAAATCTGAAATTATTTCTCTGTTTCAAAATTTAAAAGAAAATCATCAAAAAAATATTTTACAAGTCTTTTAGTTAAGTTCTTTTTTCTAGGCTATAGTTCAAAAGATCCTTTCACCAACTAAGTTCACTGTTTTAAAAAGAGAAACTTTCCACAAAAACACTTTCAGTACATTAGTTTAAAATAGTCATAGCATTTAATTTTATTTTTTTATTTTTAGTTCTGATAGCAATTACCAATTTATTCCAAGTTAGAACGCAAAGATCCTTGTGGGAACGATAACTGGGACTCACTAAAGCCCTATATTACTTGTTGTCGCATATACTTGTGTGCATTACTTGCATAACTGTTAGCAAGGCAACAAGTTTTTAGCGCCGTTGCCGGGGATCGAGGCGTACATGATCAGATTTCTTTGTGTGATTGCTATTTCTGAACTGCTTATTTTTGCTGTTTTTAGTTTAGGTTAATTTGAATTCTGTGTCAATATTGTTTTAGTAAATATTAATGTAGTTCGTGAATATTGGTAGATTAAAATTGTTGTTTTGTTTCATATTCTGTTTTATTTTATGTCATTTAATTTTCTATTCTGTTGTTTCATAGCTAGTATTTTGTTTTGTAATTTTGTAGTTTCAGTTTTTTATTATTAGTCTCATTCGATTATTTTGGATTTAGTAGTACTGTGTTATAAGTCTGTTTGGTTGAGAATATTATTGTGAACTGTTTTGGGACTTTTTTGTTTGCAGGTTTTTGTTTGTTTATTTATTTTTATTACATAAAACTGATTAGTAATCTAGGTGTTTTAACTAGTTAGGTTACCTGTTTTAGTTAAAAAAAAAAAGGGTGCATGAGTGTAACTCCACACCCGTTCATAGATTCATTTGACCCTGAACCTGAGAGGACCTTTAGAGTTAGGAGAAGAGCCCAAAGGCAAATCCCAATCCCAAATTTTGAAGAGATGGAGAATGTAGGAAATGGGAATGGGAATGAGGATGAAATACCAAGGATACAAAACCCACCTGTCATAAATGACAATGATAGGTCCATGGTGGACTTCATCATACCTGTGTTGGATGAGTTAGATCCAAGCATTGCCCAACTTGTGAATGAAGTACCCTTTAAGTTAGAACCAGTGATGTTCACCATGCTCCAAAACATGGGGCAGTTCCATGGTCTGCTGATGGAAGACCCACACAAACATCTTAGGAATTTTATAGAAGTGGCCAACACTTTTAGGAATCCTAACATCTCAGATGATGTGCTGAGATTGAAGCTCTTCCCTCATTCACTGGCTGACAAAGCCAACGAGTGGTTGAACTCCCTTCCATGCAACTCCATAACTAATTGGCACACTAGCTGAAAAATTTATCATGAAATTTTTCCCATCCAACAAGATAGTGCAAACTAGATGTGACATCACCAACTTCATGTAGAAGGATAGTGAGACCTTAGTGGATGTGTGGGAGAGATACAAAATCCTTCTTAAGCAATGCACCAACCATGGTTTGCCCTCTTGGGCAGTGTTACAGACCTTTTACAATGGCCTGAGTACTCAAAATAGAGCCTTAGCAAATTCTGCTGCTAATGGCATGTTTATGTCCATGTCCTTTAACCAAGCCCATGAGTTGTTGGAACAAATGACTCAAAATTATGCCCAATAGCCTGAAGAGAGAAATCAGTCTAGGAGAGTGGCTGGTTTACATGAAATAGATCCGGTAACAGCCCTTTCAGCCAAGTTTGATGCACTGTCCACTTTGGTGAGATCCCAAGGACAAGCCATTGTGGCAAAATTGTCTCAGCCTCAAGTTCCAGCACCTACTCCTCAAGTGCCAGTGACTCAACCTCAAGTCAATGTAGTGAACACAGGTGAAACTTGTGTTTGCTGTGGTGGGCCCCATTTGTTTGGTAGCTGTCCATCTAACCCAGAATCTGTGTATTATGTGGGGAACCAAAATAATTTTCCCAATAACTTTAACCAAGGTTGGAGGCAGAATCAACAGCCCCAATATTTCAAAGGGCAAGGGCAGCAAGCAGGCCCCTCCAATGCCCAAACCAAAATACCTTTTCCCACCCAGAATTACAACCAAACTTCAAGGCAGCAAGCTGTTGTTCAACCTAGTGAGATGCCTATTGCTCCACCTTCTTCCTTAGAAGCTTTATTAAGGGAATATTTGGTTAAGAATGAGACTAAGCAAAACAGCTTGGAAGCTGTTGTCCAAAGTATTCCTGCATCTTTGAGGAATATAGAATCCCAACTAGCCCATTTAGCAAACACTATGAATACCAGACCCCCTAGTACTCTGCCTAGTAACACTGAAGAGCCTATGAGAAATAAAGAGCAATGCAATATGATAGAGCTCTGAAATGGCAGATCTGTAAATCAGCCAGAAGTCGTGGTTAGACCTTCCACATTAAAAAAAAGAGAAGAGGAGAACATGCAGAAGGAAAAAGATGCAAATTCTGAACCTGTTCAGAATTCTATTGTTCATGACAGCCCCCAAGGGGCTGCGCATAGTGACCCCTTGCCCATTCTAGTTGAATCTGACAATCAGACCCCTATAGATGAGCCTTTAAGGAATATTTCCATGGAAAAGTCCATGCCAAAGGGTCAACCAACCAAGTCAAATGTTGAGGCACCAGTTGTCAAAAACAGACCCCTACCACCTTTTCCTCAAAGGTTACAAAAACAGAAGCAAGATAATCGGTTTAGGAAATTTTTAGACCTCCTAAAACAGTTGCATGTCAACATTCCATTTGTGGATGCATTGGAACAAATGCCCACTTATGTGAAACTCATGAAAGAAATTATTTCAAGAAAAAGGAGGCTAGAAGAGTTTGAGACTGTTGCTCTTACACAAGAGAGCAGTCAATATCTGCTTAGTAAGATACCTCCTAAACTAGGAGACCCAGGAAGTTTTACAATCCTATGTACCATAGGAGACCATTATATAGGCAGAGCTTTGTGTGATGTAGGTGCTAGTATCAATTTAATGCCTCTGAGTGTGTACAAAAAGCTGAAGGTAGGAGAGCCAAATCCTACCACTGTCACCTTGCAGTTGGCTGATAGGTCCCTAGTTTATCCTGAAGGGAAAGTAGAGAATGTCTTGGTGAAGGTAGATAAGTTTATTCTCCCAGCTGATTTTATAATCTTAGACTATGAGGAAGACCGAGAGGTTCCAATTATTTTGGGAAGGGCTTTCTTAGCCACTGGTGGGGCTGTCATAGATGTAAAGGAGGGTGAGTTGGCCATGAATGTGAATGGTGAGCAAGTAAAATTCAATATTTTAAAAGCCGTGAAATACCCAAGAGACATATAGGAGTGTTCTAGGCTAGATATCATTGACTGTGTAGTCAAAGATAAATTTTTGCGTGAGTCTTCATTAGACTCTTTACAAAATTCTGGTTTTGAGGGTCTAGAAATCAGTCAAACTGATTCTGAGGAAGTAGTTAAGTGGTTAAATTCCAGAACTGATGTGGTTTGGAAAAATAAAAAATTTGAGTCTTTGGAATTAGCAAAGAGAGGGTTAAAACTTCCTAAACCCTCAATTGAAGAGCCACCTGTATTAGAACTCAAGCCTCTGCTGAATCACCTTAGGTATGCTTACTTAGGGGAAAAAGACACCTTTCCTGTTATAGTGTCCAATCTGCTCACTGTGTTAGAGGAGGAACAGTTGCTGACTGTTTTAAAAAAATTTAAGAGGGCTATAGGTTGGTCTTTGGCAGACATAAAAGGAATTAACCCTTCCTATTGCACACATAAAATCCTTTTTACTGACCCAACCAGCAGCTCTAGAGAGCAACAAAGAAGGCTTAACCCAATCATGAAGGAGGTAGTAAAAAAAGAAATTATTAAGTGGCTGGATGATGGGAACATTTATCCCGTTTCTGACAGTAACTGGGTTAGCCCAGTACAGTGTGTCCCAAAAAAGGTAGGATCACTTTTGCGGAAAATGAAAAAAAAAAGAATTAATACCCACTAAGACTGTCACTGGTTGGAGGATCTGTATGGACTACAGAAAACTCAACAAAGCCACTAGGAAAAACCATTTCCCCTTGCCTTTCATAGACCAAATGCTAGATAGATTAGCTGGTAAGGAATATTACTGTTTTCTAGATGGCTCTTCAGGGTACAATCAAATAGCCTTAGCCCCTGAGGACCAGCCAAAGACCACTTTTACTTGTCCCTATGGCATCTTTGCCTTTAGGAGAATGCCCTTTGGGCTGTGCAATGCACCAGCCACCTTTCAAAGGTGCATGATGGCCATTTTTACTGACATGATAGAACAGTTTGTGGAAGTCTTCATGGATGACT